CACGAGGAATAAGTGTCTTCAATACGGATGCATTGACGGCGTCCAAACAAGTAACTACGAAACCAGTCAGTTGCCGCTGGAGATACGTTAATAGAACGGAGCACAGCTAGAAGTATATCAAAATCGACTGTGTTGAAGGCGTTACTGAAATCAAGAAGAGTAAGAATAGTAACTTGCCGATTCTCCATTCCTGCCCGAATGTCGTCTGTGATTTTAACCAAAGCAGTGACCGTGCTATGGCCAGGACGAAAGCCTGATTGGAATGTATTTAAGAGGCTATTTTCATTAAGAAATAGATTAAGTTGCTGTTGGACAAGACGCTCAAGAATTTTAGAAAGAAAAGGTAATATGGAAATAGGACGATAATCACAGAAGGACTTGGGATTTGATTTCTTGGGTAGTGGAATAATTTGAGCATCTTTCCATGGAGTAGGAAAAGTTCCTGTATTTATAGAATTGTTGAAAATTTTAGTTATGATAGGAGTTAATAGATCTAAGAGCGGGAGAATCATGTTTCGGCTGACATTATCATTACCAATTGCATTAGAAGTTACAGCTGTGATATTCTTTTTAACGTCACAATCAGCAACCTGACATAAAACGAATTCGGGGAAATCGGGAGTTGGCAAAGAATGAAGGTGATTTAGTGTCCTAGATTTACAACTGTTAACGTAACTAGAACTTGAGGAAAAGTATTGATTAAGCATTTCAAAGTTTAAATCAGGAGGAAGGGAGTCATTTCGCTTTTTGCCAATTCCCAAACTTTTAAGAAATTTCCAAACCCTATTGGGATCAGATTCCTCAATTGTCTTGTGAATGTGACGTCGTTGCGCATCTCTACACATCGTGTTGCAGCGATTCCTAAGTATCCTGTATTTCTCACGATTTATATTACAGGGGTCCTTTTTAAATTTGGCTTTGGCTAGGTTTCTTCTTGTCATTAAATCTTTAATCTCTTTTGTGAGCCAAGGAGCCGGCGGATATTTAAGTTTGATTGGTCGTAAAGGTGCATGCTTGTCATAAAGTTGCATTATAAAGGCATTTAAAAGACGCACTTGTTCGTCAACATCTGTTGTCTCATCAATTAACGACCAGTTTATACTGGCAGCATCATTTTTAAGACGGTCGACGTCCATTCTAGCAAAATTACGCAGCAGAAGAACACGGGACTTGACTTTTGGTGATCGTAATTTATATGACAAAAACAGCAAATCGTGGTAAGAAAAAGCATCGGCAGTATACTGCCCGTGTTTGTATATGTATTCTGGAGAGGAAACGATTTTTAAATCTAGAAGAGAAGGGGCACTATTAGGGAAGAAATGGGTAGGATTAGAAGGCAAGATGTGAAGATTACATGAGTCAACTACGGACTTCAATTTTTTTGAACGGACATCATTTTTGAGAAGACACGTATTGAAGTCACCCATAATGATAACATGTTTACATGTCGGAACCAATTCTTCCAAAGTTTTTTCAAAGGCAGAAAAATAATTAACAGAGCTAGAGGGACTATAAACGACGCCTAAGAGCACTTTGAAGGAAGAAAGTGTGACTTCAATGAAAAGATGTTCTGCTGCACTATCAACAATTGTGGTGGACGATATGCTGGCTATAGAGTAACGAATATCTTTACGAAGATATATGGCAACCCCACCACCAGTTTTGACGGGTCGGTCATTTCGCAATAAATGGAAACCTGGAATTGCATAAGAAATGGATGGTAAACACGGTTTTAGCCAAGTTTCAGAGACCAGAATTGCATGAATGTTTTTGTGGTTTAAGCTTGTCAGCATATCAGGATAGTGAGCGGGAATGCTCTGAGCATTTATGTGAATTACATTGAAATTATTAGCACAATCTAAGAAGCAAGAATCTAAGGAAGAATTGAGAGAGAGAGTACTGTGGAAACTGTCATCTCCGTCATCTGAAGTACCCGAGGAACAAGTCTCGAAAGAGCTAGAGCCTAAGTAAATATCATTTAGGGAAATATTCATCATAATTATTCAAATAAAATAATACTTATTAAATAACTATAAAAATAATATTAAGATAAAAAATATGAATATAAATAATATATACACCTATAAATATTTAAATATGTTAATTACTTAAATAATTTACGTATAACAATACACACTCACCCACCAGCAGTACATATGATACAAAAATAATAATCGTTTATTAACACCATAATTATCAATGAAATGCGACAATTCTACTAACAAAATGTACTACAAATACTTATGCCGACAGACTAGCAACACTAAAATATTAATAATATTTAATTAATAATAGTTAATTAAAAAACGTACAAAGAAAATTCATAACTGACAACTAAGTAGATCTAAGTTGAAACGGGACATGAACATGAAAGATATGACATGTCTATGCTAAGGTGACATACACGTATGCATCACGTATGTGTGCCATGGATTAGAAAAAAAAATGTTTATTCAGAATTAACCACAAACGAATAACAAGTGCTAGCCAGTCATAAATAAATAAATATGTAGCTATAGAGTATATTATAATATCTGATCAATGGCAACATGCGTAGTATCCTCTGATCGTAGTCTGTGACGGTAACAAATAACAATAAAATATAGGCTCAGAAGGGCTAGAACCCAGAGCCGTAAAACCAGTTATAGTAAAAAAAACAATAACAAATATATGAGTCATGATACATACGCATCAAAAATAAACAAATTAAAGGGTACTAAAACATTGAAATATAACAAAAATTACTACACAAATTAAAGTCGTTATTTAACGAAAATTAATAAAGGTTGCGGAAGCTGTAATTACTTACGGGCCGCAACGCGAGTCCGAGTTTTAGTTGGCTTGGTTTTTTCGGCAGATTTAGCACCATCTTGGTTCTGCTTTGATGATGACGGTGATTGGATGGACTGTAAATCAGCAACAGTGAACACGGAATGCCGTACCCCGTCTTCTGTTAAAACATAAATACAGCCTTCCCTTGTCCAGCATTTCGATACTCCGAAGCGGTTGCGAGCTGCTAGAAAAGCTTCATGCCTAACTTTTGTAAGGAATTCGGACAAGGTTACTCCAGTACCTTTAAGATTTGTTTTTGAAGTCCAGACCTTGTGACGAAGACCAAGATCCTTAAACTCCACTAAAAGAGGTCTGGGTTTGTCCTTAATTTTACCCAATCTAAAGCACCGGTTTAAATTTTCCTGAGCTATGAACACTTTGGTCTGCTGTAGTGACTTAATGACAGTTTCAGCAACATCTTCATTTTTATCTTCGGGTACACCATGGATCAGCAAGATTCTGCGACGATTATGCATCTCCAACCGATCGCAGTCTTTTGAGACCATTTGAACTTGCTGCTGTAAGTTTTGGAGCGCGGAAATAACAAAAGTCTTAAAATTTTTAAAGACTGTAGCTAGTGGAGATGATGATGAAGGAGAAGGAACACTAGTTTTGTTGAGTTCTTGTTGAAAAGCTGCAAGGCTTGACTGGAACAGTGCTGTCATCTCTTCCATTGATTGTTCGATAGTCTTCATGGTGAAAGAGTGTAATTAAGTGTTATAGTATTTGGTAAAAACAACTATCAGTACTGCTGGTGAATGTCACTTAATCAGCTTGTCATAATATTTGGCTTAAATATATTTATTTTAAATTAATATTTACAAGAGCACAAAAAATTGCTGTGTATTATTATGCGCCTACCCGCAGAAAACCGACAACCGATGGGGAAGAAAGGTTCTCGAGTGGCAACCTCGTACCGGTAGGCGAAGTGTAGGGCGTCCCCCCACGAGATGGAGTGACGACCTGGTAAGACATGCAGGAAGTCGATGGATGCAGGTGGCTCAGGACCGTGCTTTGTGGCATTCTTTGGGGGAGGCCTATGTTCAGCAGTGGACTTGTGAAGGGCTGTAATGATGATGATGATGATGACCCGCAGAAAAAAAAAATTTTTATATATTATGTTTTTGAAACATTTTTAGTTTTATATAGAATATAATATGATATGAATATATTTATGTATAATATTTCTTGTATGTATGTATGTGTGTATATCCCTAAATGTATATGTAGGTATATTTATTGGCAAGGAAATAATTCAATTTATAAAATTATTGAAATGTATGTCATAAACACTTCCAGGTAGATCGTGCGTGTTTCTGTGGTTATGGCAGAATCATCAGCGCTGTAGGTTACCCTGCAGCATTACGCTGAGTCATACACACCTTTTCACTGGCTCGATACACTCTTGTAATTTTAATCTACCATACTTTTAACTTTTAATTTTTTTATTTTTGTGATGTGTACAATTCCAGTGAATAAATGTCTTTCTTTCTTTCTCTTTCTTTCTTTCTTTAAAAATATTATAAAATATCTAGGAACTTATTTCTTGCGTGCCGATTTGTGCAATTCAAAATCGGTTACAGAGACTTGATCTTGAGATTTGGTATCCTTTTCCATCTTACATTTTTGCTATAAGGAATTTTCTTCTCTCTTTCACATTATGTGGGTCTATACGCCAGTATATTCTGAGTCTATGAGAACGTTGAAGTTTTGACGGGAACTTGACCGTCGAGGAATTTTTGCTTTTTGTAATGCAGTGGATTTCGATAAATCAAAGTGGGTTTGTGTATAAATATCTGCGCATGTAAACAATAAATGAAAACACATTTGCAAGTGTTTCATAGTGGTATCAATTTCAAATTTTTTTATCTGTTTGGGTGATTTTATATACTATCGTCAACAACTGTTCGCTGGGGTAAGCATTGTAGGAAATGTAAATAAGACACACATCTCTCTTGGCTGTATGACCTAAAACTTGTAACCTATCATAATTTACAAATTGTAACAACAACATCAACAATAGCTATGGTTGCCACTGTCAGAAGTCAGCTGTTTGCCTGCCCTGCCTGCACATTTGACAACGGGGTGAAGTTTTGTTATCCTGCAACAAAAACTAGTGTTTTAAGAATAACTTGTTCGTAATCTTATAACTATACTTTCCTACAGTAATGTCAGACAGTAAAACGTCCCTTCGCATAGACTGGTTTGACGGAAGTCTAATACAAGATACAAGACAAAATGCAAGCACCTCACAATTTGATGATAAAGAGTCAACAGAAACACAAACACCATCCAGAATTGTAGACGTGGAGAGAAAGCCTATTGGTTTTAAAAGATTGATGGATCTATCTCTCCTAAAACCTCCAATACTAAACTTAGAAATATCTCACAGACCTGGTTTCTGGCATCTTTTCGATTCCGAACTGAAAGGGGATTTTATTGTTTTAATCGTAAAAATACTAAGCATTGTATATACTACTTTAGAATCAGGAGAAAAATCGAAGCTTGCAATGTTACTTCAAACAAGATTTGTGAAATCTCCTTTTATGATTAACCTAAAAAAGTATTTAAGTAATTTGCCTAGTGTAAGGATTGTTGAAAAAAGGTTAAATATGCAATTGTGGAATGATGCTGAAACCTTTTATTTAAATGTTTATGAGTTATGTGAAGGTATGTTTAAATTTTATAAAAGTGACATTGAAATATTAATAGAAATATTAGACTTATTGGAAATTACTGAAACTAGTGCTGTAGGTGTAAGAGAACAACATACGGAGACTATTAGAGATAGTTTGTTCACACAAATAGATGAACTGAAAAAGGATATTTTGGAAACTATCACTGAGGTAATTTATTATGCTGTTTTTATACACATTCATTTCATAATACTGAAATTGTAGATTTATGCTCATTTTGTAGGTATTTATTGCTTATTTAAATATATAATTTTTTTTTTTGTTCAACAAACCATAATGGTATAACTTAATTCCTTCCTGTCCCTTTCACCATTGGGCAACCAGAAGCTTGGCCAGTCTCCACCCATCATTTCATTGTCAACTTACCACACAATCAAATCATACGGTTTACTGCATCATCAGTCATGCATACTACAGCAAAGGAGTGCAATTAATTGCCAGCATCTGCCTTTCCATCCAATTAAAATGTAAATGCAAGAGTAAATAGGGTTTTGTTAGGTCTGTGTGCTGCATCATCTTCGGCTGCCTCACCGCTTAAGATCAAGTGGTGGGATAGTATTCAAGCGCTGACTTAGAACAGCAAAAAAAACAGTTTTGTTTCAATCAACAACTGATGGAAAAGATATTGTCTTGAGTGGCAGCCTCAACTGCAACCTCTACCAGTAATTGCAGGATAGTCTAATACTCACTATATGTATAGAATGACTACCTGGTGATTAATGCAAAAAGTAAATGGATGCAAGTGGCTGAAGACCGTGCTTTGTGGCTTTCCTTGAAGGAGGCCTATGTTCAGCAGTTGACTTGTGATAGGCTGTAATGATGATGATAAACTTGTTTTATAATAAAATATTCCATAGTTTTTAATAAACTTATAATTGGATGTGATTATTCCAGTTGAATATTATATGACATAATTGTAAAAGTATAAGTAATCTTTTAATTAAAAAAAACTGTCAGTCGAAGGACTGCACATCAGAAGTGAAAACTTCTTAGCTTCACAAACTTATAAACAGTATTTTAAGGTTGATAAGAAATATTTTTTCAAGAAGCATTTTTTATTACATAGATACAACATATAAATATAGTAAATAAATAATCATTTATTGCACTATTTTACATGAAAAATAATGATTATTATCTATATAATACAAACAAATTTATAAATACATATAAATTTTATGTATCTGAACATGACATGAGAGTTATTCGAGAACAGTGCTTTTTTCCATCTCAAAAGTGCTCAATGTGTCTAAAGAAGCTTCAGTTTTATTTCAAAAATAATTATAATCAATATATTATTACTGATTCATCAATGTACCAAAAAAAGGGAAGATTGAAATAAATGTTTATGACCAAAAATTACCCCTTTAAAGTTTACATTTCTGGTTCCATTACAGTTTGCATTTAGTTTTCCTATGTTGATTTTAGAGTTATATTGTGTGACCAGTTGTTTGTAATGAATAAACTTACTACAAGCAACAGTAAAAATCAGTCATCAAAATTAGAAATAGACAATTTAGGATCTATTGCAGAGCTGATTGTGGTTGAAAAACCAGTTTTCTTTATACATTTTGCTACTGTTAAGTCACAATAAAAATATCATCTTGTAATCTCTATAAATCTATATTTTCAGAAAAATAATGAAACTCTGCAATCAAGATCTGAACAGTACAAGGAGGATCCTACAAATTTCAAAAATTTACAAATTTTTCCCACTAAAGATGACCTCCTTTATGACAGTAGAATTAAAATACAGCCAAATATAATAAATGGTGCTTACCCAAGTGTGGAACATTATTTGGATCTGCAGTTTAAGTTGTTACGAGAAGACTGCTTTGCACCCTTACGAGAAGGAATATGTTGGTAAAAAACAAAGTTTTCTTTTATATAGAATACAAAGTAGTAACGAGATGCACATTGCTTGGCTAAGTATTCAACAGAGCATATGAATGTAGATTCAGTGGTTTTGGCATTTGAATCCCAGTATTTTTTTCAAGCATTATTTGAATTTCAGTAAGAATTTTGTAATTTTTTTTTATAGAAATAGGTTGATAAACGATCACACAGTCCACCTGATAGTAAGTGGATGCTGTGGACCATATTAATCTACATCCGTCCTCAATTAAAATCAAAATTCAGATGCATTGTCACCCAAACCGTCAAATCTCTACAAGTTGTCTACTCTCTACACTCGCCATATGAAACAAACAGCATGAAGCTGCTACTTTACGGTGGTATTTAATGATACTGTGGTCCGTCCCTGGTTAAGCCAACCCATTCACCATACAGCCATAATATAGCTGCAATATGGCTCTATCACATGTTATCTTGATAGTTAGAGAACCTGTGATAATAAGCAGTGTTCATTATGGATTGCAGAACTAATATCACTCCACGATGAAGCATTCGGACAAATCTACAGTAATTTACAACAATAACACTCGAAGTTTCTGAACAATCTTATTTTCGGTTCATCTATTTACAATAAACTATATATACCTATAACGCAAGTAACATTGACCACAACCAAAACCTTACCTGGTGGTAGATCTGTTTTTCATATGTCTTTAAAGGCATTATTGTATGCTTTTTTTAACAAAAGCTCATCATTTTATTTATAAATAATAAAGTAACTACTGTAGATATATATGACCAAGAATATAATATCATTTCATGTAACATCCACGCGATCTATACATCTATACTACAAATAAATAAAATTAAAGTGTCTGTTTGTAATGTAGAAATAACTTCTTTTTAATAAATGCATATGAAAGTATATATACTGTACTTATAACAAAAAAACAACTAAATATTTTTGCCTTTCTGTTTGTTCCGGCTAATCTCGGAAAAGGCTAGACCGATTTTGACGGGACTATCACTGGCAGATTACAGATGTTATGAGGAGTAACTTGGGCTACTTTTATTTTAGAATTATTGTTACGGCCTACAGCTGCCTAAATAAGAGTAGAATCTTCCGGGCCCATAGCGGAAGACCTTACAAGCAGATGTAGGTCGGGCCTCATAAAGCCAAAGTGGAAAATCTCTAATTACAATAAACAATAAGGGGGAGCGTTCTATACTACTGCCATTCAACAGGGAGAATATTAAACCAAGCTTACTTACCTATATCCAAGACGACTGGTCCCTCAGGATTCGGTTAGGTCGCATGTCGTTGTGTGGTGTAAGGGAAATCAGGTGCTGTGATGTGTATCTGGGTGTGACTGGTGGTGATTGACCTTATTAGACCTTTGCCGTCGGCAGCAGCCCGGACGTCAGCACCGCTCCAAATTGAGGTAATCTTCCGCGGCGCCGTCCACAGTCACATTCTTTGTTCGTCACGATGACAGTCCATGAACTCTATCGTACGATTAACTAACTTAAAGAAGCCACTAACTCTTGTTTGTTATAAAGCTTAACACACAAAACGAACACGGAGTGTCGGTCTATATGAGATCCCGTTACTATAAGCAAAAACGTAACACACCGCCCGAATACGAATGTCCGGATCAAAGGTCACTACCGCTTCGCGTGGCAACCCTTATTTCTAGAATATCAAATGCCGCACTAGCTAATATTGTCGAATGCACTTATACAGATTCTGAGTCAGACACAATGAGTCCCAGGAAAGGCTATCAAACAAGGAATGTGCGTTACAAATCCTAGACAGTATATTTACTAGACGCATAAACTCTTCCGCGTTCCCGCACAAAATTGACAGCGTGCTGACGTTAGCACAGCTTGCAGACGACTCCTATTTGCCCTCGCGCGTTCTACCCACGACCGAACGTCAAACCGGTATCGCCGAGCCGCGCGCCCTCTGACGTCAATCCCGAAATCAGCGTTCGGGCGTAAACAATTATTTACTTTTATTTTAAATTAGTCTTTAGTGCTGCTCCAGTGTGTGTTGGAGGACTTCACATGTCCTCGAAATATGTTATGCCTCAGACATGCAGGTTTCCTCACGATGGTATCCTTCATCACCAGGCACATGGTAAAATAGTAATCAATACTTAAAATTACAAATTATGAATTTCATAGAGGCTGGCAGGGATTGAATTCAGGTTGCTGGCGTATTGTGAAATTGTCAGTGAGCGTATAATCCCTGAGCTGCAACGGCTTTATATTATTAACAGTGCCAGAGCATAGATTCGAGTAGAGATTTGTGCACACTGCCGCCTAGTCAAATCACAAATCTTTTAAGAAATGCATGCAAAGCATTAAATAAGGAAGCTATTTTTATCATAATAGTATTTATATCTATCAGCTTTGATGAAAACCCATTCCATTCAATTTCTTTGGTAAAATTTCAGGTAAATATATGGAAAATCCATCCAAGCGAAAACATGAAAACATAAGGTATGATTAATGACAATTTTATTTGACTTTTTGGTTTTATTTGAACCATAATAACGGATATTTTATTTAGGCAAATAATGTTGTCATAGAAACTATTGTCATTTATTTTGAGTGAATATGAAGATCTATTGTCATACTGTATAATAAATTATTATTCCGATGATGTCCCAGAAGTCAGTCTAAGCGAGATTAGAATGGCCCTCCAGCACCTTAAAAACGGCAAGGCCGCGGGCGAGGATGGAATTACAGCGAAGCTCCTGAAAGCGGGTGGAAAACCGGTACTTAAAGTCCTTCAGAAGCTCCTTAATTCTGTCCTCCATGGTGGCACTACACCGGAGGCGTGGAGCAGAATTGCGGTGGTCTTGTTCTTCAAGAAAGGCGACAACGCTCTCTTGAAGAACTACAGACCGATTTCCCTTCTAAGCCGTGTCTACGTGCTGTTTTCGAGAGTCATTACGAATCGTCTCGCACGCAGACTCGACGACTTCCAGCCTCCCGAACAAGCCGGTTTTCGAAAAGGCTTTAGCACCATAGACCTCATACATACCCTTCGACAAATTGTACAGAAGACCGAAGAGTACAATCTGCCACTTTGTCTTGCGTATGTGGACTATGAGAAAGCCTTTGATTCCGTCGAAATTTGGGCGGTGCTGCAGTCCCACCAGCGGTGCCAAGTGGGCTATCGGTGTATCGAAATGCTGAAGTGTTTGTACAGTAGGGCTACGATGACTATCCGAGTACAGAACCAAAGTACGAAACCTATTTAACTGCAGAGAGGTGTAAGACAGGGTGACGTAATATCCCCGAAACTCTTCACCGCTGCATTGGAAGACGTTTTCAAGCTACCGGACTGGAAAGGATACGGTATCAACATCAATTGCGAGTACATCACTCACCTTCGATTTGCCGATGATATAGTCCTTATGGCAGAATCGCTGGAGGACCTAAACACTATACTCAATGACCTCAATAGTGTCTCCCAACAGATAGGTCGATGAACATGGACAAAACAAAAAACATGTTTAACGTGCATGTCACACCTATGCCGGTAGTTGTTGGGAGCACCAAGCTCGAAGTTGTTGACGAATATGTTTACCTGGGACAAATAGTCCGACTAGGTAAGTCCAACTTCGACCGAGAGGCCAATCGACGGATTCAACTCGGCTGGGCAGCGTTCGGGAGATTACGACATATCTTCTCGTTAGACATATACCTCAGAACCTCAAAACTAGATTACTAATAGAGCTGACTAGAGACTAAACTGACTAGAGCGTGTTGCCAGTGATGACCTACGGATTTGAGACGTGGTCCTTCACTGCTGGCCGTGTGAGGAAGCTCAAAGTCGCTCAGCGAGCTATGGAAAGGGCAATGCTCAGCGTTTCTCTGCGTGATACTTAAAAACGAGGATATCCGCAGTAGAACCAGAGTAACCGACATAGCCCAAAGAAGTAGTATGCTGAAGTGGCAATGGGCCGACCATATAGCTCGAAGAACCGACAACCGATGGGGAAGAAAGGTTCTCGAGTGGCAGCCTCGTACCTGCAGGCAAAGTGTAGGGCGTCCCGCCAATAGAAGGAGTGTCGACCTGGAAGGACATGCAGGAAGTTGATGGATGCAGGTGGCTCAGGACCTTGCCTTGTGGCATTCCTTGCGGGGGGACTTGTGAAGGCCTGTAATGATAATGATGATGATAATAAATTATTTAAATTGTAGCTAACATGGATTATAATGAGATATATTGACATATATTTAAAAATTATAATTTGATAACATGATCGGCCTAAGAGAGATTTGCTGTTTTTGTAAGAGTAAGTAGTTATCATACAAATAATATGATAATATATAATTGAAATCCATTTTTAAATTTCAGAGTGTACCCTAAGGTTCGAATTATTAGAACATATGTAAGCAACAACAAGGTTGGCCACCTCGTTGACATAGCGTGGCAGGATCGCCTCACGAACGGAGTTATTGACAAAAAGCAGTATGCTCTTAATAAAAGGTTGATGTTTGGATCACTACTTCTCTTCACCAGTGATCAGTTTGAGACCATACTGTGTGCATCTGTGTTGGATTCCAATTCACACCTTCTTGGCGACGGTTATGTATGTATTAACTAATAAAACATGAAATTTGTAACAATTCTTCATTCGAAAGTATGTAAAGTTTTCTCTCTTTTTTTTAACGGTAATGCATATTTTAAAATTTACGACTAAAATATGTATGTTAAAAATGTGATACAATGAATTAACTTTTCAGATTGTTGTGTCTTTCCAAAATCCCGTATCTAACAACATATATTCAGAACAGTACCTGATGGTAGAAAGTGAAGTATTCTTTGAACCTTACCATCGAGTATTAAAAGTGCTGCAGAGTGCTAGGTTTGATGACTTGCCAATGAAGAAATACATTGTTGATGTTCAGGTATTACATATTACTATCAAAATTGTATATTATCTTTATTATGTCATGACAAGTTAGTGTGCTTGTTTGTAAACTACTTGTAATATTTTTAAGATTGCATCCATGCTGCCATCTCTGCTCAACCTAGAGGTAAACTGGCAGAATAGCTTTTACATGGTAAAGCCATGCTGCAGCTATATTAATAGTATAGTTGTAGCACAAATGGGTCGGCTTGACCGGGGTAGGACCACGCTTTCACAGAATACCAGCATAAAATAGCAACTTAATGCTGCTGTGTTTCGTATGGTGAGTGTAGAGTACCTGAGACCCTTTTGCTGGAAAATAGGCATTCTATCTTAGTCCTCACGGGTAAGACAATGCATCTGTATTTTGATTCTTTATTGAGGATAGATGTGTAAGTCCATGGGCCACAGCAATCACTTACCATCAGGTGGTCTGTGTGCTCGTTTGTCACCCTTATTCTTATCATTATATAAATATATATATATATATATATATAATATTATTATATAATATCATCTTAAAAAAGATGTCTTGTGATATTAATTTTACCTTTTTGTACATAATTATATCCCATATCGTCCCATAGGTATCGTAAAAGGTGACAGAGGGAAACTGAAACGGGAGATGGGCAGCAGCATGGTGATTCCTTATGTTTACACAAACACTACTCATTTAAATAAAAATAGTTTTTACGGATTTTATTGCGTATATTAATTAACTTGTTTTATATTCCCGACGTTGACGAGTGGGTGGGGGGCTGAGGTGTACGACCATACCACCATAACCTCGGCTTTTTACTTATTATAAGCCAGTGCTTGACCAAAACCCCAAGTGATGGTAAGTGGTCAAGCCCTAGATGGTAAATCGCACTGTCTTATCGTAACAAAAGCCTATTCACTCTTGCCTCGAAGACGCCCAGATTGTGTTCGGACGGAAAGATAGAGGCCGGCAAATTAAAATCTATCTAACTCCAGATTAAAATTATTAATATTTGTTCCGATCTATGCAGTGCGATATCTTGAAGTCTTGCAGTTGCATGCTTGGGTTGGGATTAAATTTTATTAATTATAGGATCCTAATCAGATGGTAGTACCCAGCCATCTTCTTTGTGGTCTATCAAATCTGATGTAGTGGCGAGGGTGATCCTGTATGTGATACAGACTGCAGACTTCCCGGAGCGTCGATTCTTCACATCAGCTATGTGTTCTTTAACGCGGGTTTTTATTGATCTTTTAGTTTGTCCTATGTAAGAGTGACCACACTCACAATCAAGCTTGTACACTCCCGCATCTTGCAGAGGGACATTACACTTAACTGATGGTAAAAACTGACTAATCTTCTTCGGCGGCTTGAAGTATGTTTTAATGGAAGCACGCTTCAAGATGTAGCCAATCTTGTCAGTGACACCTCTGACATATGGCAGTACAGCAGGCACTCGCTCGACTGTGGCTGGCTTCACTCGTTCACTGTGACGTAGGCGCGGGACACGAAGCTTGGTGTCGTGCTAAACTTGCTTGACGTGTTTGAGCTCGGCGGCCAGGTGTTTATTATCACAACTCACTCGTGCTCTCTGAAACAAAGATTTTCCTCTTAAGAGCTGTCCCTTAATGTAATTTTTGTTGGTTGCAGACTGAAGTTCATCCGCCTGACTATCTCACATCTGAAACGGTTTACATCATACCTAGCCCTAAAGACCACGAGAAAAGTAGTTTTAATGTTCTTGAATTAGACAATTGGCCAACCAATGAAACCTTTGGCCTAGATGATTCTCAAATGAGTGCCTTCAAATTCGCTCTTACAAGACAATTCGCCGTCATACAAGGTCCACCTGGTACTGGCAAAACATTCATTGGGGTCAAAATTGCATCTATGCTACTTAAGAATTTGTCTCTAGAAGGCACTCCAATGCTTGTGATCTGCTATACAAATCACGCCCTTGATCAATTTCTAGAAGGCATCCTAGATATAACAACGAATGTTATTAGATTGGGAAGTCAAAGCAAAAGTAATATTTTACAAAATTACATTTTAAATAATATGAGAGGAAGAATCAAGTCAAAATACTCTTACCTCTACGCTAGTAAGAGAGCAGAATTAGAAAGGCTGTATAAAGAAATGACGGATATCCAAACTGAGGTAGATAAATGTGAAAACGAAATTATTTCTTATACAACTCTCAAACCGTTTTTAAAAATTAATAACAAACCATTTGAATTAAAAACGTCTAGCGAAGATTCTATAATTAGTTGGTTGTTTGGTCATTTGGATCATACACCTGAGAATCCAAATGATGAAGAGGATTTAGATGATTGGGAGAAGCAATGTGAAGAATTAAGCAACAGTGATCAAGTTGAAACATGTTTTTCCGAAGAATGGGCGCTAAAAGAAATACAATCAATGAAAAACAGCATTAAATATGTTGGGGATTTGACAGATGACAAATATAAATCTCAAAAGATGGTTGAAAAATTACAAGAGCAAATCACAAAACTTCGAAACAGGTTGAATTATTTTAAGGTATGTACTCGAATCCTGAGGTAGTGTATCAGTTGACTAGAGTGCCGTACAGTGTGGAGACAGCACAAGAGAATTCATCACTTCGTTTCGTCCAGTGGATGTCGTAAGAGGCAACTATGGGATAAACCAAAATGTTCTTATATCTGCCGATAGATGGCGTTGTATTGTAATCGTCAATCCGCATGACAATGAGGGCATCCACAACTTTTTCTGCCACCAGGGCGGCGCCACTTTACAGTGAGGTAAAATATTTGACAGATTTCATAGCGGGGACGATAATTTCTTAGGAAAATGTAATATTTAAGGTTTCTTTCCGTATTGTTAGTTATATTTTTTATTAATTACATTAGAAATGAATAAACTAAACTATAATTATAACTTAAAGTAGATAAATTAAAAAAAGAGTTATAAAGTGCAAAAAATTAAAAATCAAACCACTGACGCATTTTGTTGTATATTAATATAACACTCTAATAATGATAAACTATTATTTAGAACTAATCTCTTAATTAACTGACACTATGTAACGAAACACTTTACCTCAGTCACAATAAGCGACATCTGGTGAGTGTTAGATTATTAGCCCTCATTAAGGCAAATCCTTTCTACTATGGAGGAGATTACGGGAGAGGTTAATGCCCTATGTGCATAGTCTACGTTTATTAAAGTATACTGCATAATAAATATGATAAACTAATAGATATATTAGAGATTGATATTGGAGATTACCTACTTTTAAAACTAGCTTCAAAAAAGAAGAAGGTTCTCAATTCTACTGTATTATTTTAACTTTGTTCTAGGAGAACCGATTATAATTCTTTTTTTATTTAAGAGCTGGTGCTTCTCATGCGGTCCCATTTAAATTTGATCAAGATCTGACAAGTAGTTTTTGAGTTATCTTTAATAATGCGTATTTGTTACATTGATGATTGAAGTTGGTTCTACAAAAATTTTATTTTACCACTTGTTTATGTCGATATTGAATAATTAACTAATCATCAAAAATAACTTTAATTCTGCAGAAAATCATGACAATGGCACATAAAGGAGAATATGCGAAAAACGATGTAATGGAAGTCGAAGATTTGTATCAGTTATCTCCAGAGAAAAGATGGTGCGTCTACTTCAACGCAACAGCAGGTTTAAAAGATAAACTTATGAACAAGATGAATAATTTGATGGTTTGTAAAAAATATTGAAATTGTTTTGCTTGATACAAACTAGTTTAGTAGTAATTTATTAAAAAGACGAAGCAAAACGTTTGGTTCTAATGCGTGGTATATCGATAACAAAGGAATGAAGACCCGCCGACCGCCTGGTTGTCCGGTGGTAGAAAGGAAAGGGAGGAATTAAAGCGTGTAATTTCCACGCACACTCACCGAAATGCATCCTATAGAATACCGAGAGATTTCCTACTCAGCGCCTGTGCTCGAGGCTGACAAGATTGGTTTCAACCAAATCAAAGTCACCAATAAGCCTCTTAGCACGTCTCTCCACTGAGTCCAACGCTGCCAGGTGGCATTTTGCAGCACCTGCCCATATGTGACAGCAGTACTCCATGCACGACCGGACTTGCGCTTTATATATGGTAAGAAGCTGCCTCGGCGTGAAGTACCGCCGCACCCTTGCAAGGACACCAAGATTCCTTGCGGCTGCTTTGGCTCTGGACTGAATGAACCGCCCATAGTTGAAGTTCGGAGAAAATTCAATCCCTAACAACTGAAGGCGGTACGCAAACTGCTGTAATGATGATGATGATGATATAAATCGAATAGTTCGGGCGTTTTTCAATTTATAGAATAAGAGTGTCAAACGAGCACACAGTCCACCTGATGGTAAGTGGGTGCTGTGGCTAAGTGTGTTACTCCAAGGATACATTCCGGAAAGTAGGAGCCAAGGTGAGCGGGCTCCTTTTAGCGGTAAAAAGATACGCTTGTGTTTTGGAGGCTTTAAATGTCACAAGATTGGCATCGCCCCATTCGGAGACTGCCTGTGGTGTGAGACTCACACGCTCAACCATAGCCTCTCTTTCTGACTGTGTTTGATCCCGACTGGCCCGGGCACTTGGTTGGTATCTCTCCACAACTGTGCTGTCGTCTGCAACCCACAGATACCGGGAATGAGCAGATCATTTATATGCAGCAGGAAGAGAGTTGCAGAGAGAACGGACCCCTGAGGAACACCGGTGTTAGTCGTCACAGTACCGGATGATCAACCATCGACGACGACCCGGAGAGACCGTTCACTCACAAAGTCCTTCACCCAGGCAATCCGGCCAGGGGATAAGCCGTACGCTGAAAGCTTGCCCAATAGACTAGCGTGCCAAACCCTGTCAAAGACCTTCGAATCATCGAGAGAAACAGCAAGTGCTTCACCACTGTTCTCGAGGACTTCGCCCCATATGTGAGTGGCATACGCTAGAAAGTCCCCAGTTGATCGATTTTGGCGAAACCCGTACTGGCGGTCACTGAGGAGATCATTTTGCTCTAGGTATGTCATGAGGTGGGCGTTCAATATACGCTCCATAATCTTGCAGAGTATGGATAGTTGGCAGGGTCGATACGGCTACCTTTAGGCACAGGCTGCACATTGGCTAGCTTCCAAAATTTAGGCACTATTCCAGTACAGAATGAGAGACGGAACAAGCGTGTCAACACAGGAGACAACTCAGGTGTACAGACCTTTGGAACTATAGCTGGTATACCACCAGGTCCACTAGCTTTGTTCACGTCTAGACTTCGCAAGGTTTTAAGAACCTCCTTGTTGGTGATACGGACCTCTGACATGAGGTACCGCAGTGAGGTAATTGAGATGGTACGCTGTTGCTCCTGTCCAGACGCGAATTGCAAGCAAAAAGAGAAGCAAATAAGTCCGCATTCTCCTTAGGTGCATGCGCCAGTGAACCATCTGGTTTTAACAGCAGAGGCAGTGTAGTCCGACAGAAGTTTGTCTCGACTTCTTTGGCGAGAGACCAAAAAGCTCTACTGCCAGATGGTTTTACAGAGAGCTTTGTGCCGATGCGTTTAACGCGGTCAAAACTGGCTTGGCGTAATGCCTTTTTGCAGGACTTGGCGGCTTGGTTAAAGGCTCCCTTCTTAAGGCTAACATACGGAGCTTTACGGTCTTGAGCATCGACCCAGGATAAGTACGCCATATGCTTGTGCTTTTCAGCACGACCACAATCGGCGTTAAACCATGGGCGAACTTTACCACCAATGGCCACGTCAGCAAAGGGGATGAAATACTCCATCGCTTGATGTATCACATTGGTTATGGCATGCGCGCAGCACGACGGGTCTTCAGAGGAGAAACAGACCTACCGCCAAGGATAAGATGCAAAGAAATGCCGCATCTCATCCCAATCTGACTTTTTTCGCCACATTCGTCGCACTCCGTGGAAATCGTAGTTAGGTGGGGAATATAACGACACAGATTTCACAAGAAAGTGGTCATAAGTTTCCAAGGGTGAGGTAAACTGAACATCGTACCAGTTTGGATCCGTCGTCTGTAGAAGCTCGAGGCAGTTGGTTGTGTGCCCATCCACATCAGGTACCCTAGTCGCTTGTTGTACCAGCTCGCAGAGCCCCAGCGACAAGGCAAAATTTCACGCCACTCTCCCAGCGTGGTCGGTCTTCTGGTATGGGAACAGCCAGTCCTGATGACAGGCATTAAAGTCCCCCAGAAAAACTAACTGTGCGTTAAGGTACCGATTTAGAGCCACATCAAAGGCTTCACTGAAGTGTTCAAACAGCCTAGTTGTCTCCTGGTCACCGCTATGCGATCGGTAGACACAAGAATAAATAATTTTATCCATTCCTTTGTCTATTAATACCCAGATCGTAGAGATAGTGGGGTCTTCAAGGTAACGGACACGCTTATAGCAGATGTCGTTGCGGACGGACTCCGGTGCGCTGATGGAAATCATGCTCCAATGTGTACCCAAGGTAGCCAAGGTACGCCGCATCTAGAGGACATCCAATCTGCGTCTCAGTCAAGAAGAGTAAGTGCGACTTGTCAGTCTCAAGGTGGTAATGGACTGCATTGAGATTACAGTGCAGGCCTCGGATGTATGTGAGGTGCACTTTAATGGAGAGGGAGTGCAGCCGCTGTACTCTTCTGTGTAACTTACTCTTCTTTTTCCTGTTTTTCATTAACGGTAGGAGTGAATAGGTTGAGAGAATGGCAGTTGGACGAGACGTCACACATAACCTAGGGACGTAAACAGAGTCACAGCATTGATGGTACCTAGCATGGACATCGCGGGGACGCCCGAACCCTTCTGGAAATCGCCACCAGGCCCTCTCCTCCGGTCGCCAACCGGCATGGTGGAGCCATCCTAGGATTTTTCGTAAGATGGCGAGGCAGCCTTTCATGAGTGGCTGGCTCATTAATTGGGCCCCCAACTATCTACGGTCTGCCAGCGGTGCAACCGTGCTTCGGATCCCGCTAACCTCCATAACCAGGCACCTGACACTAGGAAACGTCGCAGCCGGCTCGTATGCGCAACGCAACTGTCCAGACCCATTCTCCCTAAGAAATGGATTTCACCATACATCACACCGGAACACGACGGTGGTAACTAACCCTCGGTCGGGCCTCTCACTAGTAGAGGACCAACCTACCACCAGTATGTAGTACTGCTCGTTTAGCACTACCCAGGGGATACGTGTAGGGAATCAGGATTCAAGTAATTCCTACGGACGCGAGCAGCTTCATCCCCCAATTTTCGAACACGTCAATAATTTACTGTCATTAATTTTAAAATACTTGGACGTAAAGTTTATTGGTTTTAAAGGAGCAACATAACGCATGTAGCGAAGAATTGGAGGAAGTCAGCACATTGCTGGACGGTGAGCTGGTGCGCACGGCCCGAGTGGTGGGGGTGACCACCAGCGCCGCCGCGAGGAGGCATGACTTGCTGAGGAAACTGCTGTCACCGATAGGTATGTACTCTTAACCTTGTAGAAAAGTTTTGTATAAATAATACAATCTGAATTGTCAGTAAAGCTAAGTCAATATATTGAATGCATTACTGTTTATTCTTATCTTTCTCTGATTTTGTCGCTTTTGTTTCAGTAATTGTTGAAGAAGCGGCAGAGGTTTTAGAAGCGCACATAGTTGCTTCCCTCACAAACCACTGCAAACATCTCATACTAATCGGTATAGTATATTCTACTAACCATTTGTTAATCGTTCTAAAATAGTTTTAATGGATATAACTCTTGCTGTTCAGAATATCTTTAAATTATGGTTTTTCTAGTCATTGATTGTTATTTAATAATTTTCAGGCGATCACAAGCAACTTCGCCCAACTGCCGCACATTACAAACTGGCAAAAGACTACAATCTGGAAATATCTCTTTTCGAACGCATGCTCCGTAATGGCGTACACGCGCGCACTCTCACTACACAGCGGCGAATGCGTAGCAACTTTGCTCAGTTACTCGTGCCGATCATTTATGAAAAACTGGATTCCCATCCTTCGGTACTGGCTTATCCTGATGTAAGGGGGATGAAGGATAATTTATACTTCTATAATCATAATGAATTAGAAGATTCTGAGGTAAGTTTTGTTACCAACATATTAGGATTATTCATTTTAATGTTTCTTTGACAGTAATGTCTTTATATAATATTTTTATATGGCTGATTGTACACAAATACTGATTTACAAAAAATATTTTAAGCCTAGATTTGTCAATTTTTTTATTTTTTTACTGTCCCATGGTGTAAAATTGATTATTCTAATTAATTCGGGCCGATTTATTTAATCATAATAAATAATAACAAATGTGCCAGTGTGACCAGAGTGACTGACATAGCGCAACGGATTAGTAAGTTGAAGTGGCAATTGGCCGGCTATATAGCTCGAAGAACCGACAACCGATGGGGAAAAAAGGTTGTCGAGTGGCAACCTCGTACCGGTAGGCGAAGAGTAGGGCGATGCCCCACTAGATGTAGTAATGAACTGGTAAGCATTCAGGAAGTCGATGGATGCCATTGGCTCAGGATCGTGCTTTGTGGCTTTCCTTGGGGAAGGCCTGTGTTCAGCAGTGGACTTGTGAAAGTCTTTAATATGAACTGATGATGATGAAATAACAAAAAAAAAAAGACAAAAAAGAAAGATACGTTTTTAACGCCTATCGGAAGCCTTATTTATCATTCTTCTTCTGCATCATACCTTAACCACTGCAGAACATGGCCCTCTCTCTTTGTAGGGAGGATTCGTCATGTCTCATAACCGTCCCGCATGAGGTATACGTTTTTTTTTTATAGAATAAGGCTAACGAACGAACACACAGTCCACCTGATGGCAAGTGGATGTTGTGGCCTATAGACATTTACATTTATCCTCAATTAAGAATCAAAATGCAGATGCGTTGTCACCCCTGAGGACTGAGATGGAATGCCTCGATTCCAGTAAAAAAGGTCTTCGATTCTCTACACTCCCATACATAATACGTCAGCATTAAGCTACTATTTTATGCTGGTATTCTGTGAGAGTGTGGTCCTACCCCGTTCGAGTCGATCCATTCATGCTGCAATCACAATATAGCTGCAGCATGGCTCAACCTCTATATTTTAACGTGGTAGAGCCACGATGCAGATATATTATGGTCGGCTCGAGAGATATATTATGCAGGGCGATTCCCCACTAGATGAAGTAACGATGATTAATGACATTATTTTGACTGTTCGTTTACTGCTGACATAAACTAATTATCCCACTGTAAGCCACCACGCTTCCCTGTCTCGCAACCACAATGTTAGGGAATGCACAAATGTATAATATTGATGCTTATTATTAAATGACTTATACATTATTAAAGTTAGAGCCTATATACGTCCCACTGCTGGGCACAGGCCTCCTCTCATTTCTGAGAGGGTTTTAGGGCAAGGAATGCGTGTTCGCGTACTTCACACGTCTTCGAAATATTTTTTTCGTATTTCTCAGACATGCAGGTTTCCTCACAATGTTTTTCTTCACCGTCGAGCACGTGGTAAATCAGCACTTAAAATTGCAATTAACAATTTCATTGGTGCCGGCGGGAATCGAACCCGAGTTGCACGCGTACTGGAAAACTTACGACGAGCGCTAACCATCTGAGCTACCACGGCTCTTACATTATTAAACAAATTACAATTACCTTTATGTAAATAGTAGAATCAGGCCTTACTTTGCGGAAATCTAGTATATTAAAACCCTTTTTACTAGATACGATGCATTCCATCATAGTCCTCACGGGTGACAATGCATCTGCATTTTGATTCGTAATCGAAGATAAATGTAGATGTCTATGGGTCACGACAACCACTTACCATCAGGTTGACTGTGTGCTCGTTTGTCACCCTTATACTATAAAAAAAATATTAAAAGATGTTAAAAATTAATTACCTAGTAAAAAATAAAATAAAAATGATGTGTCTTAGTTTGCAGAGCACTTTCCACTCACCCTCAACTGCGACTTCAAGTTTGAAGAGGGACCTTAGCTTATTAATTTTTAACATGTTTACCCTTATGTGCCAAGCACTAGTACATTTAAAATCTATATTTTACTTTTGTAGGGCTTAGAAGATAGCTGGAGTCACAAAAATACATTCGAGGCGAAATGGTGTTTGGCGCTTGCGAGTTATTTACGACAGATGAAATATAAAGCTGAGGAAATAACGGTACTGGCCACATACACTGGACAGGCCACTCTTATGAGAGACGTAAGTAGAGGTGGGCTCGGTAGCACGGTGGCTAAATTTTAGTTACTGTTCTATCGGCCGCGGGATTGGTTTCCGCATGACGTCGACTACCTCATTGGTATAATGGTCGTAAAAGTAAACGCTACTACTGATCATAAGGTCTCGGGTTTGAATCTCGAGTCGCCCCAAAAATCTTTTATTGGGTTTTTCTGTCAAGAAATTCTCAGTAACGACCCCCCCCCCCCCCCTTGGTCTTGCTCCTCGTCCGGTCGTAATATGAGAGTAAGAGAATAAAGAGTGCACCTGCACTTGCACATACATTTGGGAATTGTAATCCTGTCCTGCGCCTACCCAGTCTCCGTTGAGACTGGCCGCCATGACCGGAAATCGATCTCGAAGACATTGTTTTCGCATAAGTAAAATTTTTAAAAAATTTCTCAACAATGATATGACAAAACAAACCTGGCAAAAGTATGTATACTTTTGCCAGGTTTGTTAGAAGAAGCCCCACTATTATTATGCACAGGTCTCCTCTTATTCCCGACCTCCGAGAGCGTGCTTGCTTCACACTTTTGTAGGTCAATAGGTATTTTTTTTTTAGGATATGGTGACAAATGAGCACGCAGTCCACCTGATGGTAAGTGGTTACTGTGACCCATAGACATCTACATCTATCCTCAATAAAGACTCAAGATGCAGATGCGTTGTCACCCCTAAGGACTGAGATGGAATGTCTCGTTTCCAGTAAAAAAGGTCTCCGGTTCTCTACACTCACCATACAAAACACAGCAGCGTTAAGCTGCTATTTTACGCTGGTATGACAAAACAAACCTCTTTAGTATGTATACTTTTGCCAGAAGCCCACTATTATTATGCACAGGCCTCCTCTTATTCCCGACCTCCAAGAGTATGCTTGCCTCACTCTCGCAGGTATTATATTAGTAGACTTCAGATACTCTAGACATTTTAATTCATTACACATGTTGGTTTTCTCACTATATTTTTCTTCACCATTAAGCACGTGATGAATTAGTACTTTTAAATTCATACATTAGTTATAGCCTATTAAAACTCATCGTCTGAATTTGGCCACCCCCATAGATCGTTTCTTTGTGCTTGTTGTTAGAAAGACACTGTTGCTCATCTCTGGTTTGTAGTGGATATTCTTACACCGTCACTACACGTTATTATTGCACGCCTCATAACGCGAAGTGTGTTCTACTCTCGACATGTCAAGATAAAGCAATTTTATGTTCTTAAAATGCTTCTATCATAACCATATCGCGTTTATACGATAATATGAGTAGTTGTATATGAAGAAAACACCATCCATCTTATATTTTCTAAAAAATAATTTTATATTGCTACTTTGGAAAAAAAAGTTTTGAAAAAAAAAATTGCCTGGACATCCGATTGTTGATTTTGTATGTGGTCACGAAAACTCCCGAAAAAATTGACGTATCGAGACCGTTTTTTTTTATTAGCTTCAGAATTACATCACCCGGTTCCCTATTGCATATCAATAGCCTAATACGCGCAGTTTGTTAATAAAATGATTTTAAACTTTTGTAAGTTTTACTGCTATTATAAATTTAAAGGCGCTATTTATATTTTTTTAGCATTTGAAAAACAAAGGACAAATGTACCATACACCCTATATCGATTTTATAATTTGTGTTATCGATTTATTTTGGTAAACATTTTTTCCCCTGTAGGTAATACTACCTGTTAAAATAATAGATCTCTAAATTTTAAACACATAAATAATATATTCTAGAAGTCAGGAATACAATTTTTTCCATCAAAATTAAATTAAACGCTCATGAGGCGTGCACTTTTGGATTTTCTAAACTATTATTATAATCCGACGGATCAATCCCATGAATGGACAAATTTTTCAAGATCGCACTTTCTTTAAAAGAATTAAATTCATTATTTTGTCAAAGCTTTTAAAAAAAATTTAGTCGAGTTTCGTTTATTAATCAGTGTGGCACTCAGCTGATATCGTAAACCTAAACCACATCTTGAGATATGTTTATTAATAAGACCATAATCTCAAGATTGTACTCAAGTGCGTGTACTTGAGCTGAGTAACGTTTATTAATACGGGCATACTCAGAAAGTTTTTACACAAAATAATGAAATTAATAGAATCAGGCGTTACTTTGCGGAAATCCATTGTATTAAAGCTATTAAAAAATTTACTTCGCAAAAATCCGCTCTATAAAATAAAATGATGTGTCTTACCTAGTATGAAGAGCACCTCCCGCCCTCCCTCAATTGCGTGCACTATCCCCGGCACCACTAATCCCAGCACTGCCGTCTTGACGGTCAGCCACCGCAGTCTACATCACCTGAGGATGCCTCGTGTAGAGGCGAAACACGTGTCGTATTGTCGTCAGTGGTGTGTCTTTCCTAGTGTAGTGGTGTTGGGAGTAGTGGTGCTGGGATTAGCGGTGACGGGGATAGTGCACGCAATTGAGGGAGGGCGGGAGGTGCTCTTAATACTAGGTAAGACACATCATTTTATTTTATAGAGCGGATTTTTGCGAAGTAAATTTTTTAATAGCTTTAATACAATGGATTTCCGCAAAGTAACGCCTGGTTCTATTAATTTTATTATTTTGTGTAAAAACTTTTTGAGTATGCCCGTATTAATAAACGTTACTCAGCTCAAGTACACGCACTTGAGTACAATCTTGAGATTATGGTCTTATTAATAAACATATCTCAAGATGTGGTTTAGGTTTACGATATCAGCTGAGTGCCACACTGATTAATAAACGAAACTCGACTCTCAAGTGTGTGTACTTGAGTGCAAGTCACAGAACTGTATTTCTAAGTACAGCCTTTTGAGATACTGTTTTTATGTGTTTATTAATTAGTAATGATCTTGAGATGCTGATATCGTAATGATTACGCACTTAAGTTCAAATGATTACGCACTTAAGTTCGTCGTTGAGTAACGCTTATTAATACGGGCCTTTGTAATCATACCGCTTCATAGAATTATTAGATGAATGGACTCCTTTTCTGCATTCCACCCAGCTTAAATAATATGTCTACTAACTACTTATCAGCAGTACTTGCACTGCTGTGTTCCGGTCTCGAGGATACAGAGTATTATATATTAGACTCTGAGGCATTCCATTTTAGCTCTCAGAGGTGACAACGAATCTTTAGTTTCTTTATTTAAAGTTATCTGCAGGTGTCAAGGAGCTGCAGTAGCTACTTACCATCAGATGGACTGTTGGTTCGTAAGTCACTTTAGTTTTTTTTTAATATACCTCAAATATTTTTTTACAGCTGAGCAAAAAATATGATTTATTGAAGGACGTCAATATCACCGTAGTCGATAATTACCAAGGCGAGGAGAACAGGATAGTCATATTGTCTCTAGTAAGGAGTAACAGAGACGGCAAGATTGGGTTTCTAAGTGCGGGAAACAGAATTTGCGTGGCAATGTCTCGAGCGAAAGAAGGTTGGTGAATATCCTTGACTTGAATATATAATCGCGAATATTACGAGTAATATATTATAGTTCTCTTTTTATTAATACATGAAGGGAAAATTTTGTACCCTTTTTTAAGAATATTGCACGCACACAGAAGTGTGAGATTTGGCATAGTATACATTTATATGGAGAAGGAGTACAGAAAGCTAATTTTTTTATAGAATATGTGTTACAAATAAATTAAATAAAATAAAAACAAAAAAGTCTGTGGTCATACAGTCGCTCGGAGTAGAAATTCTCGCCAAAGAATATAATATAATCTCTACGTTTTAACTGTCGACAAAGAATTTAAAAATGTTGCCAATAAATAATCACTAACAGATTGCTTAATGAGCTGTGAAGTTCATGTCAAGGCAAAACTGCGTTTATTTTATATTTTCTATATTTATCATTTTTCTTTTTTTATTGTGCAGTCAAAAGTGAAATACAGCTTGCCTAATATACAAATTTAAAAATTTGATGAATTACGCACATAGATCGGACTTACTTATATTAAATAAAACCGTTAACTATATTTTAGTCACTGTTTGCTCAAGATCCTTATCCTGGATGTGGCAGAAGTTCTCACGGGTAGGGTTATTACAGTAGGTTTAGTGAAGTTTCCATTAAAATCCTTATTTTAACCAATCGGGGTTCCATATGTAATTATAATAAATACTATTATAAACTTCGAGCGTATCATTTTACAATAAAAACGTTAATTCGATTTTAACACAGTTATTAAAATCCATTTTGTTATTTTTTAAAGTAATATGCTACTAAAAAACCGACACGGTAATTAAATATGAGAATTTTATTAGAATCTTACCATAAATACTATATTCTTAATCCTTATATATTCTTTGCAAATAATAAAATAATGCATTACGATAACATAAAACAACAAAAACAAAGAAAAGAAAAATTTAAATCCCATGTAACTGACTATACCGTGAATATTTATGCGTGGCTTCAACAGGAAACTTCGTGGTTGTGGCAACACTGTTACGATATTATGCTTGTAGCTTTGTTCATCAACATCATTATAGGCCTTCATTCATTTATAGCCGGCAGTTCACTGCTAGATATAGGCCTTTTCCAAGATGGCCCACTTATTATTATAAGCCCCATTTTGCGGGTCTTCGGCTTTACGCAATCAATTGCTGTCTACCTTGAGCACATCGTCGTTTTTTTCAGTTAGTTTTAAGCCTCCACTTGACTATGCAACAATCATACCTTGTGGTAAATTTAGCTACTTCATCCAAACTGGGAGGTCTTTGTAACCTTTTTGGGTTCATGAAACGAATATTTTTAGTAAACTTTTAATTTCTAGTAAGGCAATCACTGGTCTAAAGTAGACAGGAAGGCCAGGCGCCGTTCTGCCTTGTCTCACGGACAACCTGCTAGCGGATAAAGCCGATGTGATAGCCGTTGGTAGGATGATAGGCCAACAGTCGGTTAGTTCACGGCTATAAGTAGATGATAGGTGGATCCTGGAATCCGAGACCAGCATTAGGAGGAATCCAACAGCACTGCATTCGCCCTATTCAAATTCAGCACTCCTAGGAAATTAAGAATTCCTAAGCGTTAACTAGTTCCGACAGAAGAAGCGAGATCAAATGCACTTCATCATCATTACACAGAAGGGAAATCGATCTGTAGTTCTTCAAGAGAGCGTTGTCACCTTTCCTCAAGAACAAGACCACCGCACTTCTGCTCCACGCCTCCGGTGTAATGCCACCATGGAGGACGGAATTAAAGAGCTCTACAATATCATCATTACAGCCCTTCACAAGTCCACTGCTGAACATAGGTCTCACCCAAGGAATACCGCAAAGCACGGTCCTGAGCCACCTGCATCCATCGACTTCTACCATGTCGTCAATCTATCTAGTGCAACTGCACTTAGACTATTATATACTAGCTTTTGCCCGCGACTTCGTCCGCATAGATATTATACTTTAAACCAATTATACTTAACAGTCGGCACCGCACGCCAAAATAGTTCGCAGACAGATGACTGATTTTTTCCAAATTACATATCACTCAGTGCACCAAAATTGACGATATTTTAAGTGACGATTGCTGTATAACGCGCGGAATTCCCCAAGGCAGTGTTCTGGTCCCTACCCTCTTTTTGTGTTATATTAATAACCTCTGTCAAATTAATATTCTCAATTGTAAGGTTATGTGCTATGCTGATGACACCACACTTACCTTATACGGTCAATCTTGGGAAGAAGTTTATTCTGTTGCACAAACTGGTCGTAATACAGTCCAGCAATGGCTTGCTACGCATTATCTATCTTTAAATGCAACCAAAACTAAATACATTCCCTTTTGTATTACCACACCAGCATTGAAAGGCCAAGAGAACTTAAACTTATATGTCCATGACTGCTGCATACCGCCGCTTAGTTCATGTACGTGTCGCTCTCTTGAAAAAACCACAAAATATGTAGGTATTAATAGACCACAAACTTTCTTTCGAGGAGCATATATACCACATTTCTTCCAGAGTTCGTAAACTTACATACATTTTTAAGCAGCTTCGTCATCTTGCTGATACCAGTATTATAAAATTTGTTTATACTGCCTTATGTCAATCTATTACTAACTATAGCATAACGTCTTGGGGTTGTGCAGCAAAAAGCCACATGATTAGGTTAGAGCGTGCACAAAGGCTTATACTTAAAATATCTTATAAAAAACATCGATTATTTTCAACAAATGAACTTTACCAATTCTGTGAATTGCTCACTGTACGTCAACTCTATATTCTTGGGACAATATTATTAAATTATTCAAAAACGGAATATAATAAATACAATCCTGTATTAAACAAAAGACTTCCTCTTCCTCATGTGGTATGCAAAACACCTGTTACCAATTTGTTATTTGCTCGAAGATTTTTCAATTACAGAGGTCCAGTCCTATATAATCTTGCTAACAAATTAATAAATATATATCCGTTAACTAAAAGACAGACAAAAATTTCCTTAATCAAATGGCTTAAATCATTAGACTACGAACAGACAGAGAACTATTTGAACGTATTGTTTAAATACTCGTATATATTACACACCACATGCATACACACACACACACACACACATACACACACGTGCGCGCACGCGCGCGCACACACACGCACACGTGCGGGCCCGCGCACACGCGCACCCCACATTATTAACACTTAATACACCTGTTTACCTTTACTAGTAGACTACTTAAAGCATGTTTTTTCTTTATATATACCTAATTAGTAATTTTTACACAGTTTCTCCAAACTGAACAAGTATATTTTAATGTAATTTTATTACACGTAGCTGTATTGATTATTAAATGTATTACAGCAATATCACTTCTGTTGAGGGAGGGGCCTGGTGATCCCATAGCACAGGGACACCTAGTTTGGGCACCAGTCTCCCACCTAGATCTTATTTAGCTAATATTTATAGCTTTTATTTAGTTGTATAGTTTATTGTTACTAAGTTTATTGTGATGTACTGATCATAATATGTGGGAGAAAATAAATACCAATTATTATTAATTATTATTATTAATTACTTATCGTATGAGTTATATTATTGTAAAGTTTCATTAAAATGCACTCAGTAGTTTTTGCGTAGAAGAGTAACAAACATACATACATCCATACATCTTCACAAACTTTCACGTTTATAATATTAAGTAGGATTTTGGGAGTAGGTAAGCAGGTTCAATGAACGTTTCGCAAGCAGTCTCAGGTAGACTGAACAAAGATGGCACTAACCGAACACTTCCAATTTAGAAATCAGTGATCAGCGATTAAATGGTATATAAACCAAATACTTTATTTTAAAATTAGAATATGTTTTATTTTTATACGTGGTAGAGCCATGCTGCAGCTATATTAGCAATATAGTTGTAGCGCGAATGGGTCAGTTCGACCGGGGAAGGACCACGCTCTCACAGAATACCAGCGTAAAATGGCAGCTTGACACTGCTGTGTTTCGTATGGTGAGTGTAGAGAACCGGAGACCCATTTTACTGGAAAAGAGGCCTTCCATCTTAGTCCTCACGGGTGACCACGCGTCTGCATTTTGATCCTTTATTGAGGATAAATGTAGATGTCTATGGATCACAGCAATCACTTACAAAATAACCCTGTAATATGAGGGGGCAAACAAGCATGCCGCTCATCTAATGGTAAGTGACTACCGCCGCCCATGAACAACTGCAACAACAAGGGAAAGTTAAAAGATATTTTAAAATTCCCTTATTGTTTTGACTTTTAAGAAAGAGGAGGTTCTTTACTTGATTTTACTTTATAAGTCGATTCCACAAGGAAGTTGTGCGGTGATATTTGTAAGGCATTCAGGTGCAACGTTACGTCTTCTTCAATTAACCATAGTCGTTCTTAATCGAATTGAACTTCGTTGCTTCAACCATTGCAAATTCGTTTTCAAAATAAATTGCTGTAAAATTTATTGAGTGGTTTATGGGTAATTTTGTACCACTAATTATTTTATTTAAAATTTATTTGATTTTTTTTCGATTGTTTCAGGTTTCTACATTTTCGGTAACATGGACGTGCTCCAATCAGCGAGCTCGATATGGAGATGTATTGCTGAGAAATTGAAGGCGCAAAACGCTATAGGAAAAATGATTGTGCTGCGCTGTGAGACGCACAAACAAAATACGTACAAAGTTCGTAAAACTTAATTGCATTTTGATCTTATAGTGCAATGGTTCAACTCTGACGGGAATCGTTTGCCGGTGGATGTTTTGCCGTTAGAAAAAACGTTTCCCCCACATTAAGATTTCCTCCTGTATCGTGAAGGCAGTTAACATACATAAATTGCACAAGAACAAAAATCTAGACCCAAAACAATAACATTTGGGCCATGCAAATAATTGTTCCGTGCGAGATTTGATCTCGCGGCCCTCAACGCCGTAACTTATCGCAAATAGCTTAACATTGCGCCACGGAGCCGGTAAATGATTCCGGAATGGCGTTTTATTTTTTCATAATGATAATGTAATGTAATCTAAAAAAGATTCATTCATACCACTTGACCAAAATAATTAGGCGCATGACAGCTAAGACGTCATTAGAACTAGGGAGGGAACACGGAACGGTGATATGTCAGGGAAGCGCGGGGATAGAAGCGGGGTGCGGGCGCTGAAACCGCATTCCTGTCATGCGCCTATTGTTTTGGCCAAGTTGTAATTCATTTATTACAACCTGTTAAACGTTTACTGCTTAACAAAGCACCGCATTCCTCGGGTATTGCAGTTGATCATGGGCGACGGTGGTCACTTACCATCAGGTGAGCCGCATGCTCGTTTGCCCCCTCTCCTATAAAAAAGACCTCACCCATGGAATGCTTCATAGGGGGAAGCATATTCATCGAACGTTTCGCAAGCAATCTCAGGTAGAATTAACAAAAATGGTCGCCGAACCAAGCATTTAGAATTTAGAAATCCGTGAAGTGTGTGCAGATTAAAATACTACTATTTTACGGTTTCGTATATTTTTGCCATAGTTACCACACTTGACAGGTGGGTTGATAGTTTTTTTTTTAAGTTAAGTTTAAGTTGCTAAAAAGTTAAGGTTGACTTTTTAAGTTGTTGTCACAAAATTAAGTTTGACATTTTTTAAGTTGTTACCAGAAAGATGCGGCTGCACATCCTCCAATTTATTTCCTTCTGTAGACACCCATGGGATGAATATAGAGAAATGAATTTTCTTGGCGCGACTGTGTAGTCGCTGCTGTGTAGCAATATTAATGTAGAAATGGAATGTTAGTTTGTTATCTGTACTGAAATATTTTATTGCAGTATATCCATAGCCTCTTCTAACTTTATTATGTCTTGCAAATATATTTCTAGCGGATTTCATATAATTGAAATGACCAGCAACATTTTACGAACACACAATAAATGTAAGTGCCAGTTACCATTGCTCTCTGCTTCCATGAATTGCACAGCTGTTAATATCATTTGAAAATATTGTAGCCATAATTGAGCAGTTGGGCTTCGTGTTTTTAAGATATATAAAGCATTTAAAAATAGATGAAGCGTGGCTTTAAAATCTTCATTATTATTGATTAAGTTTGACGTTGATGGATTGTCTTTGAGATCTTTAAGAAAAGTCGATAATTTTGTTTCTTTTTCATCAATCACTCTTGAACACTCATTGCTGACGGTGCAGCTCGACGACAAAATATCTTATTATTTAATCTATTAAGAAAAATGTTAATTTTTAACCGACTTCAAAAAGGACGAGGTACTCAATTCGACTGTATTTTTTGTGTGTTACCTTGTCGCTTTTTTCTAGGTGAACCGATTTTAATGATTCTTTTTTTATTTGAAAGCTAGTGCTTCTCATGTGGTCCCATACAAATTTGATCAAGGTCTGACCAGTAGTTTTCGAGTTACCCTTAATAATTTATATTGAAGTCGGTTGACAAAATTTTGAATTTTACAACTTGTGTAATTTTTATGTTATTATCTGTACGAAAGTGAAATTCAAAGGTCATTGAAAGCAGAAGACTTTAAAAACGTACCGCGGTGATTACTTCTTTTTAAGACGATAAGACCATTTTACGTTTGCCGTGCTGATTAAATCTGTTCTTATATTTTATATAATCAACCGTTTTCATATGCCGATCTTCAGCGCATCTATTCAACATTAATATAAAAGACATTGCATTGTAAATGGAATTGTATACTTGGGGAGTGCTTTTAGCCGGGATGGAAGATGTGATTTAGATGTGGACAGGCGTGTCGCTGCCGGGAACAAAGTCAATGGTGCCTTGACTGCGTTAGTCAAAAGGCAAGGCGTAGTGAAGAGTGCACGCCTTGCAATACATAATGCAGTGTTGGTACCGACTTTGTTATATGGCAGCGAAACCTGGGTATGTCAGAAGAAGCATAAAAGCAAGTTGAATGCAGTGGAGATGCGATCTCTTCGTCAAATGTGCGGCGTTACCATGACCGACCGAAAGCGAAACGAAGAGATTCGCAATATGGCAGGTTTGAAAGATGACCTTATCACAAAAATTGATAAGGGCGTGCTTCGGTGGTTTGGGCACGTTGAGCGAATGAGTGAAGACCGAATGGTGAAGAAAATATATAGCGCGAAAGTTAATATTAAAAGGTGTCGAGGTAGACCGAGACTAACTTTCGAAGACCATGTGAGCAAATTGCTCGAAGAGGGTAGGGTCAAGAGTACTCGGATACCTAGACGTGCATGTATGAAGAAGATAATGAATCTGAAAGAAGCGAAAGAGGTATGTAAGGATCGTGACACTTGGCGATCTGTTCTCTCTGGCTACCCCGTCAGGGATTGTGCGTGAAGATAAGTATAAGTATAAGTATTGCACACAACGTCAAAAGTCAAAACGTACAATTTACTAATGAAATTGTATTACCTATTAAAAAGAATTAAGCCGACCTCAATTACATTTTTTATAGGATAGGGCGACAAACGACAACACAGTCCACCTGATGGTAAGTGGTTGCTGTGCCCCATAGGCATCCACATCTATCCTCGACTACGAATCAAAATGCAGATGCGTTGTCACCCGTAAGGACTAAGATGGAATGCCTCGTTTCCAGTAAAAAGGGTCTCCGGTTCTCTACACTCACCATACGAAACACAGCTGCATCAAGCTGCTATTTTGCGCTGGTATTCTGTGAGAGCGTGGTCCTTCCCCGGTCGAGCCGACCCATTCTTGCTACAACTATACTACTAATACAGCTGCAGCATGGTTCATTAATGATTAGAAAAAAAATTCTAACCTGTTTTGACTTCGGTAAGCCTTTTCATAATAACAAAGAACGTGCTATAAGGTTATTAACCACACCAATACTTGTCACGTTATCCACTTAACAAGTAATGGTGTGGGTAATTTTTCAAACAAATGAATATAGCACTGTAGTTTTATTTTATTGTTCTCTGTTTAAATTCAAACACATTAGTCACAGATAGATTATATACACATTAGTCACAGATAGAGTCTCTTAGAGATAAATTTAAAGTAATTAATATATTAACTTTGGCCTCTCAGTATATTTACGAAAATTTAATGTATGTTCACAAAAACAAAGATAGTTTTAGTAAAAAAAGTGATATACATTCTGTAAACACTAGGAACAAACACAAGCTAGTGATGCCAGTTTCTCGACTCCACAGAGTCAGTAATTCATTCTTGGGGCAATGTATACGCTGTTACAACAAGGTCCCGGAAAGTGTACAGGTTCTCTCTATTACCAAGTTTAAATGTTTTATTAAGCTGAAACTGTATAAAAAGGGTTATTATAGTATAAATGAATACATGGTTGATAATAACCTCTGGGAATGAGGTGGTCGCTTCCAAGCAGTTTCTAAAATAAATTTTGTAAATAGTTTGTAATCATTTATATTGTAAAATTTTTTTTTAAAAAGTCCCGCTTGGTTTTGCTGGTTCTTCCCAGGACAGAGGGTTTTTTTCGAACCAGTGGTAAAGTAAAAAATGACTTTCAATAAGAATTACACATGTAATGTATATTGAATAAAAAATATTCTATTCTATTCTACTTAATATTGTAAATATTGACAGATTAAACAAATAATGTAATATATTAATCTATTCATTACAAGTAAAATAAAACGCGATGAAATCCGTAAAAACACTTTTATTCAATAGATTTTTATTATTTAAAAATATACAAATGAGTTGTTTTTGAAAATATGCGCTGATTGCACTCAACCGGGGTTAATAACGCTTGAACTGTATTCGAATTGTTAAAATAAACGAAAAAAAATCACGAAGCAATAAAAATAAAACGTTATGTATGCATACATTTTTCTTTTACATATATGATGTTAGATAAAAAAACGGTCAAGTGCGAAGCTTTCCTTTTCTTTATTTGTTTTTGACAACTTAATCGCCCCAAAGGCTAAGATAAAAAAGAAATCGGCTCCTTGTTCATGCATCGCACTCCACCTAAAAATTATTTAATTGTATTTCCAATTACATATTCCGTTATTTTATTATTCAGCTAGACATTGATGACATACAGGTGGACAGACGAACAGACAGACAAATAGCAGAATGACAATAATAGGGCTCCGTTTGGTACCCTTTGATACTTTACTTGTGTAAAATATTTTACATAATATATCCTCCAGACCGAATTCCGGTCACGGTCACGTATAGTAATACGCACTCGTTTAAAAAATTTGTAGTACGCAAGTTGATCTCAGGCGGCTATAAGAAAATTGATTTGTTGTTGTAGACAATTTTACCAAGTAACTCATTTACCAAGTGCTCGGTGATGAAGGATAAGTCGCAAGGAAACCTGCATGTCTGAGATGTAAAAAAAGATTTTAAGGATATCTGAATCTGTAGCCCGCTACATTGTGGCAGCGTCTGATACAAAAACCCTCTCAGAATCAGAAACGAGAAGCCTGTGCCCAGTATATGCACACATAGACAGTTAGTAACTTTTCTGTCAAACATTTTTCTTAGTATATTTTAACAGTGGGGAGAGAGTAGTTAAATTCGCAACTACTCAATTCGCCTGTATGTTTTTTTTTTGTTTTTTTTATTATTATTATTATTGTGTGGCACCTCACTACTTTTTCCTGGGTGAACCGATTTCGATGATTCTTTTTTTATTTGAAAGATGGTGCTTCTCGTACCTTGATCAAATTTATATGTAGTCCCTTATAAAATTGATCAAGGTCTGATCAATAGTTTTTAAGTTATTCTTAATAATTTATATTCAAAATAATTAATAGAATCAGGCGTTACTTTGCGGAAGTCCATTATATTAAAGTTGGTAAAAAATTACTTGTTTAAAAATTAATTATTGTACGCGAAGTAATTTTTTACCAACTTTAATTTATATTCAAGTCGGTTGTACCAATTTTTTAATTTTAAATTATAGTAGTGTTAAGACACTTGGTCGATTTTCCATTTTAAGGTGAATGTTCAGTATTATTTTTATTATTTTATTTATATCTAAAAATATACAAAGATGGCTATTTCATTATAAAACTATGACATAATAAAACTATATTTTCATACAAAGTTTGTTTGACAACTCTTGGAAATTATTATATTTCACTAGTGTCAATGTACATATCAATTAAATTTAAACAAAACAAATGAATACGGAACTCCCTATTATATTAGCTTATCTATGATACGGAATATGTGAGAGCTATACGGTGGATGACGTCACTCGCTCCAGGCGGCACGACACGAACCCATGCTTCATCACTGCAGTTTGACAGCTTTATATTATATTTGATTTTTTATTGAGTTTTTATTAAACAAATTTTCTACATTGCGCATGTTATCTTACCAATTTTGCTTATATTATAATCGAATTTTTTTTTTCAGGTTGAAAATCTCGATGACTTCGATAATTGCTTTGCCCTGCGTGGATCCTGTCTAAAAAGTTGTGGTTAAATCAACATAAGCATAATCAACATTTTATACATTTGATCAAAAAGTTTATTTTTTATTTTTACGCTTTTATTATTTTTTCTTAAAAATTTATTTGTTATTATTTTTTTTTCCTTTAACTTTCCTTAGACACGTAGAAAACGTTACAATATAATTATGTAATGTCCTTCAGGCCGAATTTCGGTCACGGCGATCATTCTCAACGGAAACTAACCATCTGCGCAGGACAGTTTAGGAGCTGACTCCATATGGGTCCCTACTGGTGACCATAATTAAAGATTGCACAACTTTTATGACATATCTATTATAGAGGAGCGTGTAATACAGTTGGTGGGCAACTAGCTACTGACTACTATTTTAAGTGCTAAGTAGAGAGGTACAATATTACTTCGTATACATATATATGGTAGATGGGTACAACGTTACTAATTATATATGTGTGTGTGCGCAGCACACCTACAACAGGATTATAGTTCACGACTGTGTACGCAAGTACAGGTTCACACTATTTACTCATATATTATCTCATAGTCCTATGGGACAGTAATACCACACAACCGGAGAGAGATCAGGCGCAGGACCAACGGCTTTACATTCTTCCAACGGCACTGGCGTGAAACACCGTCAACTTCCTGACTCTGAGCTGCTTATGAGAATTTTTTGACAGGAAAAAACCCAAAAACTGATTACGCCCGACTCGGGATTCGAACCAGTGACCACAATCAGCATACATACATACACACACACACACACACACACACACACACACACACATACACACACACACACACATACAAACAAAATTAAAATATATGCCTAGAACGTAAAGTATAATACGTTGCATGTATTGAACTCGGAGATTTTAGTTCTTTGTAGGCCATTTGGCAGCTCCGTAAGAGAATCGAAACCCTTCTTTATCCTTCAAAAAAACCGCATTCCTTTGGATCTAAGTGGCGACTAAAGGAAACCCCAAAATACCTCATGACTTCCTATACACTAAACTCCATGTACTGTGATTGCCATCCGTCTTACCCACCGTGGCGATTATGGCAAATCCTCCCTACAAGGGAAAGGGCCCATGGCCAGTCGTGAACTTTTGCGGCCTAATGATGAAGAAGCTGATGAATGTGGATAGATTATTCAAAAACCATAGATAATATTATTTAAAAAAATACGTTTGATAAATGCATTAGAATTATATTTAAAGTATTACCCTACAAAGAGACAAAACTTTTATGGAGCGCACAGAATTTATGTAAATAAAATAATTATTTATCCAATTTTCTACAATGTACGAGAAAAAAAAAATAAAAAAAATGTACGAGTAGACAACTAGAAACACTAGAATTATTTTACTTACTTACCTACTAATAGGTAAGGAATTTATAATAGTAAGCTACTAATATAAACGTTACCTACTTTAGATATTTTTATATTGTTTCCATTTTTAATAATATACCTCTGAGGCGTGCCAAATTATAATCTAGTTTTTTTTTTGCATACTGTACAGTAAATAGTGATATTTACCATATTCACTCATCTGGGTAAACACTGTTATTTGAACATGGACGTATATAAATAAGGTTTTTCCTTTTTTATACGTCCATGTATGTATTTGAATAATAAAAACTGGTCAACTGGCCGAGACCAAGTAACAGCGTATATATGTGAATTAGTCGGTGAGACGTCATGAGAGATATTTAAGTAGTAGATATTTAAATCTCTTTGGACGTCATACACTCAACTGTAACCTTACAAAACGCAGCCGTAGTGTTTGTATGAAGCTTTGTCTCTGATCTGCGGATAATTGAAGCTTATATTCAGTAGTAGATATAAGGGGGTTATTATAATAAACTAACACAGTAACTTTACATTTTAACATACGTGAGCCACCTATATTCAATCGCTGACGCTGGTATGGAAATTTTAATAGCAATTAGCAACTATAGGCCACGTGCACGACGTTGATGGGAACATCATAGCGACATTTTGAAAATAAGCGAATTCCATCATGTCATCTTGAGTAAATATAAGTAGCAGATTTATTCCTTATTAATCATTAGTGTGACGCGTGTAAAATATTTAAAAATAAAACACATAAAACCGGATTCTTTTCTATTTTGATCTTTTCATTGGTAACATTTACATAAAAGGTCTCAAAGGACAAGCGACCGCATCGATAAGTAATCATTACAAAAGTTTATTGCCATATACGTCCACAGTGATTTCATTGAAAGATTCCAGGACATTTTGAAATTGGAAATACCAGACTGGGTGTTAGATCCTTTTTCAAATGTCTATATAGCAATATTACTCCAATTGGAATAAGAACATATATAACTGACAACGAAAGAGGAAATAAAAATCAAATTCAAAAATGGCTACCACGAATTTTGGCTACAAAGGTCAGTCACGCAGTAGTATCCTGGATTGTGGACGATCGTTCAACGATTTTTGATAGCATTCCCATCGTCCTATTTGTGTGAACGTGGATTTAACGCTGTGACAACGCTGCTTACTAAAAAAAGAAATCGTTTGCATGTTACCGAACGCGGCGACTTACAATTGTTCTTGAGTAAAATCGAATCTGATATCAACAAACTCGTTAAAAATCGTCAAATTCATCCATCTTATTATATTAGTTTTAAAACTAAAGTTGATTGCTTAAGTATCTATATTGTTTCTTTTAATTTGATTGAAATATATTCTTAACATTATATAGTTGCGTTTTAATTTCTCTCACAGGTAATAATGTCTAGTTTAGAATGTAAGTTTAAACACCAGAACCGACTAATATAGCACACCATAACTAAATTAATTAAAGCAATGAAATTGTGGTTTTTAAGTTTTAGGAGTGTATAAAAAATTGTGGGCGCTGAAAGATAATTGATTTTCAAAAGGGACCGTAAAAGAAATAAGTTTGATAACCTCTGCTTTAGTGGCTACTGCTTTATGCAATATGATTTTGGAAAATGTCAACATGACTCGAGGAAAAAGAAGCTATGGAAAACTTGATAAATAACTTCAGCAATTTCCCTCCCAGCAAGAATAAATTTCTTAAAACATCAGAGCTGTTAGTTTTATATGTAAATTCACCAAAGAAATGGAGAGAATAAAAGAGAAGTGCTACAGCAAAATTGTGGGTGCAGTACCTAGAAATGGTTACTCTGGTCCGTAACTTTCTCGAAGCAGAAAGAACAGACGAATGGACGATGCATCTGAAAACAGTAAAACTAATGATTCCTTTTTATGCGACCAGTGGACGGTTTCAATATGCTAAAGCCTGCCACGTTTATTTGGAGCAGATGTACAATCTTCCCTTTGAGATGACTTCATCACATTATAATAATATAATAATAATAATAATAAACGTTTATTTCGGACATCATGATCCATATTGGTTAGTAAAAATTGAGCTTATAACTAAAGTTAGTAATTTAACAATTCAACATAAAACACAGACACAGACAAACAGTCAAGACACACATACAAATAAACATGGCACCCGCCGCTGCCAGCAAGATGACTGCGTGCAGCCGTATCCATCGAGCAAACATCGGCGAGTCCCAACGGTCTGCCAACGCGCGCAAGATACTGTTGGGGCTGTCGCGAACGCGCCTGAGGTGTGAAGCGCAACGTTTATTCATTATGGCGGCGAAACCATCTACATGAGCATCCGCAAACATAGCAAAAGCGCTACAGAAACGCGGCAGCCCCATCAATACCCGGAACGCGTTATTATATTGTACGCGAAGATCATTGTATGTCCTCTGCGTAAAGCTAACCCACAGACTGCACGTATAAAATGACTGACAGTAGGCTTTGAAAAGCGTAATCTTTGCTTCGTCAGTACATTTAGCAAATCTGCGGGCCAACATATTACAACGGACAGACAATGACCTCCGCTCCCTCTCAATATCTAGGTTGTCTTTTAAGTCTTCCGTGATCCAGTGACCCAGGTACTTAAAAGCCTCAACTTTTTTCAAGGGGGTTCCACAGAGCTTGAAAACTGGCACATTAGTGTATCGCTTGTGGTCCGGATTGAAAACCATGAATTCGCTCTTGACAGCATTGTATGTGAGCCCCTGGGCCACAGCGTAAGATTCGCATATGGTTAACAATTTCTTTAAGGCTGCACTTGATGGACTCAGCAGCACCATATCATCTGCATAACTTATGTTATTAACACAAACTCCGTCTATGTGGCAACCGATACCGGTACTGCTGAGCTCATCAAGGAGCCTATTCATATATAAGTTAAAGAGCGTTGGAGAGCTTAGACCACCCTGCCTCACGCCACATTCCAATCTGTATTCTTCTGAGAGCGAGCCTGCCCATCTGACATTGTTCTTTTGGTTGCTATACCAGTGCTGAAAGAGCAATATAACTTCTTCGGGCAGGCTAGTCTCAGATCTCATCTTGTCCCACAGGCTTTCGTAAGCTACTAGGTCAAACGCCTTTGATAAATCCAGGTAACATACAAACACAGGTGTCTTCCTTGCTGTGTAATACTGGACAGTCTGCTTGAGACACAGGATAGCACTCTCGGTGGAAAGACCTGATCTAAAGCCGAATTGAGCATCATTAAGCAAAATGTGCTTATCCAGACACCCGTTAAGCAAACTGTCCAGTACCTTAGCAATTACAGAAGCAAGGGAGATGGGCCTATAGTTGGACACATCAGAGGCGTCACCGGTCCTGTTTTTTGGTATAGGAATAACAATAGTTCGCATCAATTTGTCAGGGAGATATGAATGCCCAATACACAAATTAAATAACAAAGACAAAACCCTTGGCAAATGAACTCCAGCATGCTGCAGGTGTTCGATGCTGAGATGGTCATGCCCAGGCGACTTGCCTCTCACCATGCACTTAATGACTTTAGCTACATCTCTAGCGCTAAAAAATACACTACGCTTAGGACGACCTGCTCCAGCATCAGGCATCGGCGGCTCTGCCGGTCCACTCTAAAATATTCTTTGAAAACATTAGCAATATCACTA